GACGAAACGAGAGAAGATGTCTCGGGGACCGCATCAACCTGAATGTGGTATCAACTATAAAATGTTTCCGGTTGGAAGCAAAAGTTATGTTGGAAGGGATTCGTGAATTGGCTTTGTTGAGCCTTCTTCTGTCTCCCAGCATACCTGATCAGGGTGGCAGGGGAGATACATTTTCATCCATCCCAACCCGGATAGAAGCGACTTGTGGACACAGTGATGCGAGTCGGAGGGACAGCTAGGCTACCAATGTAGGTGAGGAAATGAGGAAAAGTTAAACAAAAGTTTCACTTTAGAGAATATATTTGACCTTTTCTTCTAATCTTGGTCATATTGGCAGGAAGATCTAGAGGAACGCACCTTCTCCGGAGTTCATAGTACGTCGGATCGTGGACGTAGTACATTGCCAGACGTTTTGCCGGCATCGTAGTCGGCAGCATCAGTCAGTCTTGCCACTCTCAGCAACCAAGCTACAACTCGTCAAAGAGACAAGTGACGAGTTGCAGCTTGGCTTACAGAGAATGGCAAGACTCATTGATGATGCCGATCACGATGCCGGTGAAACATCCGGACATTTACCAAGTCCACGGATCATAAAATGAACTCCGGACAAGGTGTGTTTCTCTAAGCCTTGCTGACACTATGACCAAATTGCGAAACCAAGGTCAAACAACTTACATACAACGAAAGGATACCGCGACCATACAAAAGGCCAACCATCCTTGTCTTCATGTCTTCTCCAAGCTCAAACAATCATGGGTCTACTTGGAAACGGGTCTAATTGTGAGATGTATTCACCTTATTTCGCTTAAAGTGATGCGGTGACTGGCAGTTGAATTTTTCAACAATGACATAAATATACCCTATTTTTACATTTAATTTCACATAGCCGTACTTCTTAAAAGATATTCTCATCGCTGCTGGAGTGGACTGCAGTTTCGACCTCATCCGAACTGATCTCACCAGCACCCACAGCGGGACTCGAACAATGAAATTTGGGCATATAATCTCGACAGGTTAACCACTACGTCACCTTTCCAAGAGTGCTTTTGGGTCACAGGACAGATGTGAATTTCAAAGAATGCTAGGCATTTTTCCATATCACATCCTGTGGTGAAATTGTCGATGAAGCAAAGTCTTATTTGGTATGCCATGTGGAATTTTATAGAAACGTAGGGTCTACTCATACTCAATTTCAGTCCCCGTATCACCTCAAACTAAATAGGTTGAATACATCTCGTATCAATTATGATCTAGTTTTGAAAACCTACTTATAAATGAAAAGGGTTTGACCTCCTCGGCACAATGTCTTTGAGCTTATTTCCATTTCGATCCCTCATCACTTCATCATACCCAAGTTGCACAAAGATTTAAGTCGATTTGGCCAGTTTCGCCATCATGTTGCAATTCTACTAATTGCAAAATTAAAAGTCATTCTAAAAGGCATTGGCTTTGACAATAGTCCCATGCTCAGAGCTCCGGCTTCCTCTTTTACTTTCATTGAGCGTTGTTGGTTCAGAATAGGAATCTTCTTCAATTGTGCCTTGTCTGTGGATGAAATGGTATCACGTCAGCCATGTGGTTCCTTTTTAGTTGGCTCTTTATGTTGCGTGACTCGTTTAATAAACTTGCTGGATACATCTCGTATCTACTCATAAATGAAAAAGGTTTGACTTCCCCGGCACAATGCCTTTGAGCTTACTTCCATTTCGAATGAAAGTGTTTAGTGAAGAGAATCTTCATCAAACACTTTCATTCGAAATGGAAGTAAGCCTAATAATTATGAAACAAGAGATTCCTCGAAAGCCAATTTTTAATTCACACAATGCATTTGAGTGATACTCGGCTTGTCGGATGGTGATTTTCAGCTGAATTCGTGTACTGTTGGCTCGGTTGTTTCGTTTACTGGGTCTCCTTTTCCGTTGGAATCGGATCTCACACTCACGACGGCAACTATGTCGGTTTTTCACTCTACCTCTCGGCCTACTCGGGCCACTTCATCCGCGGATGTATCCAAATGACTTCGAGACTGCGACTCGCCCACCTGCGCTTTCTTCCAATCGTCCCGCCTGGCCACAAGTACAGCAATCTTTTCGTTTAGATGTGATACCCGCGACTGCATGCGGTTGTAGACCTCTTTACTCCGACTGACCGGTAGACTTTTTCAATTCCACCCGTCACATCAGTGCCCCACTCTCTACAAGTGTATCCATTTTGTGGATGTGCCTGCATGTCTGTCGGGATTTCTTTCTTCATTTAACACCTCATTGTCGAATCCTTCGTAAGAGGCTGGTCGGAGTTGTTGTCCGAAGCACCGAGTGAGCCCATCCGATGCAAAATGTACCAGTTTCACCGACCTGAGGAGATGTAGCCGGGCGAGGTGGACCTCGTGGAAGAGGGGGGCTCGCCTGAGCTGGGCATAGCATGTGAATTTACGACAGGACACCGCCTCGAGCGCAAGCCGGCCGGTCGGCTGAAGTGGCATCCGCAGCAAGAGCGAGCATTTCCACTTGCAACCACTTGCGCTGGTACGTTGGTCTGACATGTGGAAAGGAAGAGTACTTCGAGGAGGGTGAGCTAATTGTGAAAAGTGTAAGTAAACATGTTCGCTTGTGACTCATTTTGGCCTACTTTCTGATTGTGGCCAAAAATGACAACGAAAGACTGACATGCTGCTTTGAGTTGGCCACATAAAGTGAGCACAAGCCGATGGTGGGACAATGAGATCGCATTGCCAGTTCAAGGAGCCTTGGTTCAGCTCGGATCCCGATCTTGCAATGAGGCATTTGCCTCAAGGCGCTTAGTCCGACTCCCGCCTGGAAGTGAGATGGAAGTCTGATCTCACTTTTTTCATGCGAGATGCAAAGGGACACAGTGTTGACAAAATCTGGACAACAAGTGTGTTCCGCCTATTTCGTTTAAGATGATGAATGATTGTTAGTTGCATTTGTCACAATGACACCAGTAGAACTTACCTTTCCATAACATTTCTCGTAGTCTTGCTTCTGAAAAGGTATTTTACTTCGACCTCATCTACCTCTTGTTAAGCTTACCTCCATTTCGAGTGAAAGTGTTGGGTAAAGAGATTGGAAGGTTGGTTCCACCGCCAGAAGACGACGACGGGTTCCTCTTGACCAGATGTTGATTGGCTTTACTGGAACATTCATGCAGACGCTGTTTCCGAAGTCGTCTACTTCAATTCCGGTGAAAAGATGCTAAGCTTTCGTCCGTCACATGACGAACATCATCAGAGCGAGGTATCATTGTCACAACAAAAATCAAGCTAACGAGTCAGGCGAACACAAACAGGCATATATACATACAGAGACAGACACATTCACATACTTCGAGGTTGTCAAGTCACTTTATACCTCATCAAAGAGGTAAGACATAGAATATATTTACATCTTTTTAGGGTTGCATAGATGAATTTCCTTGACTCGTAAACTTGAATTTGGTTGTGACGATGACACCTTGATCTGATGATGTTCGTCATGTGAC